CACCCCCCAGTTCAGCCCCCTGCGCATGCTCCTGCCAAGGCCCAGACCACCTCCTCAGCCCACCCCCCTAAGCACATCCCCCAGGCCGAGACCTGCTCCCGAGGCCACGCCCGGGAGCAAACTTCTGCCCAGGCCCAGGCCTTCTCCCTAGTGCACCCCACTGGGAACACTCCTGCCAAAGCCCAGACCTTCTCCTCCAGCCACCCCTCTGAGCACGCCCCACCTCAGGCCCAGACTTGCTCCACATTCCACTCCCCTGAGCACACCACCCCCCAAGACCAGACCCCCTCCCCAGCCCTCACCCCTGAGCACAGCGCTGCCCAGGTCCATGGCCCTGAGCATACCTCAGCCCATACCCCAGTCCAGGCCCAAGACCAGCCCCCTCACACGCCTCAGCCCAGTCCCTGGGCCACAATTCTGTCTGCACCCTGACCCATGCTCATCTGACCTATATCCATGCCAACACTCTGGTCCCTCCCCCAACTTCTGTCCCTGCTACTACTCCTGCCCTAGCCTCTACACCAGTCCCTGTCCCGATCTATGCCACAACCTCTGTCCCAGCGCTGGGCATGGCCCTGATGAACACTCCAGTCCCTTCCACCACCCCTACGCCCATCCTAGATTCTATTCCCTCTACCTTGTCTGCCTTCAGCCAAGGCCTCTCCTCCGGCCATGTGGTCTACGATGACCGCAGGGTAAAGCAGAACTTATTCCATGTGTGTCCGCCTCAGAACTCTGGGTATTCCAGAAAGGACTTGGGTACCCCCTCCAGGCCCCAAGAGGGGCATGGTCTGGTGAGCCCTGGGGCAGCAGAGGAAACACGGAAGCAATGTAGTAGGGACAGTGTCAAGCCCTCCACAGGATCCATACTGGGTTACCTGGAGTTGGGGAATATGGAATGGAAGGTCTCAAATGATGCCAAAGACAAATTTGTACAGTCCAAGACCTTGCCTTACTGCAGCTTCCATCCTTGCAGGTCTGAGAAGAGAAACACAGACCCCCAGACTCCAGTCTACCCCACATTCCTGGTGTACTCCAAGGATGCTGCACCTTCTCAACCTTGCTTCCATTCTCCAACAAGTGCCCTGAGCTCACCATGCACCATGCCTCCACCATGCACCATGCCTCCACCATGCACTCTTTCTCTGCCTATTGTTTCTCCCAGATCTTTGGCCTTCAACACAGCAGCCACCAGAAGCCCTCCACCTTTATACAACCCCCCACCTTTCCCCCAACCTCCAAGTCTCCTCAGTCTGTCCTCTCTTCCCAGGGCCCCATCCCACCCCAGTTATCCACTACTTTCCAAACCCCAAACCAGCCCCAACCCCCTGAACTTCATGAGAGTTTAGGCATCAACAAAGGCTCTGTCCTCCAAAGGAATCCAGGCCCTTCAAAAGACTGTGTAGAATTTTCAGAAACCCAGGACATACCCCAAATCAAGGCCTCCACAAGGATACAGGCCTTATCCAAGACCCAGGCCTCCACAAGAACCCAGGCCTTACCCGAGACACAGGCCTCCCCAAGAACCCAGGTCTTGCTCAAGATCCAGGCCTCCACAAGCTTCCAGGCCTTACCCAAGACCCATAACTCTGCAAGAATCCAAGCCTTTCCCAAGAGTCTGATCTTCAGAAGAATCCAGTCATTACCCAAGATTCTGGCTCCCAGAAGAGCTTAGGTTCTACTCGAGATAGACGTTTCTTTAAGCGCCCATATCTCACCCAACCCTCTGGTCTCCACAAAAACACAACATTTCTCCAAACTTCTGACATTCAGAGGAGCTCAGGCTTTATGCATGATTCTCGAGTCTATAGGAATCTGGAACGAAGGCAAGAGACTGTACTGTATAAAAGTCAAGAGCTCTCCCAAAAAACTGGCTTCCATAATAGCCCACACCCTTCTCAAGATTCTGGATGTGACAAGAATACAGGTAACGCCCAAGATTCAGGAGTCTCTAGGAGTCCAGACTTTACCCAAGATCTGGGCCAGAGAACTGTCCATACCTTGCCCAAGACTCTGGAGTCAACAAGAGCTCAGGCCTTTGCCAGGAATCTGAAGAGCCCAGGCCTTGTGCAAACCCCTCGCCTCCATAAGTGTTCAAGCCTTACCTGAGACTCAGGAGACTACAAGAATCCAGGTCTTACCCAAGATTCTGGAGTCTGCAGGAGCCAAGGCCTTACTCAAGATTCTGACCTCCGTAAGAATCCAGGCCTTACCCAAGCCACTGAAGTCAAAAGGAGATGTGGCCTTACCCAAGATGCTGGAAATTACAGGAGCTCAGAACATACCCATGACGCTAACTTCCACAAGTACTCGGGAATTAATCGCGATGCTGGCCCCCATAAGGGTCCAGCCCTTACTCAAGACTCTGGCTTATCCAAGAGATCAGGCCTCCATAACAACTCATGCCTTATCCCAAACCCTGGCCTCCACAAGAACCATCTAGGAACTGACTTTGTCCAAGTTTTGGGCCCACATCAGACCCGAAAGTCATTTATATCTGAGGCAGTTCCTCGAAAGGAGGATGCAGGGCAGCACATACCATGGACTTCTGTCCCACCCAGTCAGAACTCCTGCTCTCCCAGGGCTCAGGTGGCCTACAATGACCTGCAAATCTTCTCAGCAGTACCTGTACTGATTGAGCTGCAATCACCCTTCCGGCGAGCAGGCAGCCAAGACTGGGTGTACCACCCCATGGATACAGATCCTCCAGCTTGCCAGAATTATCGCCAGATGTCTACGCCTCCCAAAACCAGCTGGAAGCCCTACTGTCCTGGGTCAGGCACCCGGCTCGGGCATGTGGTCTTTGACGCCCGCCAGAGACAGTTCAGAGCAAGCAAGGACAAGTGCGAAGCTCTGTCTCCCAGGCGCCTTCACCGAGAGACATCCAACAACTCACCGGAGACCATCAAGGTGTGGAGATATCAGTGTGTCATGAGAAGTTTAGAAAAAGAGGGGACAGGTATGCATGAGGAATAAAGAGACAAGAGAAGTGTTCTGTGGTTGGTTGAGGACATCCACCCCAGCCCCATCCCACAGGGCCTGATGAGGACCTAAACTATCCCCGCTTTCCCTCCATCGCTGTCTAGCTAAATCCGTTATCCCCAAGGCCCTAGAGCTGCACTGTCAATTACAGTAACCACTAGCCAAATGCCTATTAGAATGTAAATTATTAAAAATTAAAGAAAATTAATTCTTTTTAAAATTAAGTTAAAATGTTAAAAATTCTCTTCCTCAGAGAACAGTATTTCTCTGGCATCCAATTCTGTTCCCTGGTGGTCCAGTTGTTGGGACTTGGCACTTTCACTGCTGTGGCTGGGGTTCAATCCCTGGTTGGGGAAATCAGACCCCGCAAGCTTCATGGCTTGGCCAAAAAAAGAAAAAAATTCTTTTCCTCAGTGCCAGGACCTTCTAAATGCTCAGTAGGCACATGGAGCTAGTGGCTACTGTATTGGATGGCACAGATTTAGAACATTTGCATCATCATGGAAAATGCTATTGGAGACCAGTGCTTTAGAGTTTAGAGCAATTTTCCTTTCCCTGTCACCCACCCCCAGCATCTTAAAGCTCCCCCAGAGCCCAGAGAACTTAGCTATTTTTAGGGTGGCTCAGAAGCCACCCTCTAGGGAGGAGGTAAGATGTGGGGCTGGACACCCAGTGCCTGATTTCCCCAGACTGTGAGAAAGAGCCCAGGCTTCAGTTTTCCTCATCTGGTCTCTTGGGTCACGACCAGATGTATGGAAACTTGCCTCCCCCGTTCTGGGCTGTGTTTGGGGCTCTTGGTTACTGAAGGAGAAGACCTCTCTTTGTCAGTGACTAGGAATCCTTGTGTTTTAGTCTCCCCAAATTGGGCCCTGGATTCTGAGGATCCCCCTCCTTCATAGGCCTCTAAATTTTTCGAGGTGTCTCCACTTAATTTTCTTGCCCATGGACTTAGGCCTAGTTCACTGTGGAGACAGACCCCTGGGAAAAAGGAATGTTAGAATTCCTGGTCCAGTATGCATTGGTCTAATCTGTGAGCGTGTCTC